TCTGGCCTGTCTTGATTCAAAACATTCAATAAACATTCACTAAAACCTTCAGCAGCAAGCTTTATCTAACTTCTGTGTGTCTTTTGGGTGTCTGCTGGCGGCCCGACGGCCGCCGAAAATGGCCGCCACGGCTGCCAGGGGGCAGTTGGGCGATGACTCCACATCCAAATTTGTTCATAATATATTGGTCTACCTCTGTGCCAAAATTGGTGCTTTTATCAAAAAATGCACAATAGGTTTGAATATCCTAGGTAAACCGCCCCACTAAAATGATATGTCTACGTATTTGATTGGCAGTTGGTGCGCATTGCATTGTGGCAATTAAATGCAAATTATACCGCGACATTTATGATCATAACGAGCATAAACGAATAAACTTACATGCCGTTATGTCTAAATGATATAAGTCTACGTATTTGATCGGCAGTTGGTGCGCATTGCATTGTCTATTTCGCATTGTTCGCTTGATTGTTACTAAAGCAGCTCGCACCTCGCAAATACCGTATTTCTGGAGCCGCGAATCAGCGTGTGAACGCTCGGCCGCGTATGTGTCTCAGATTCGGTATTTCGCAAATACCGTATTTCTGGAGCCGCGAATCAGCGTGTGAACGCTCGGCCGCGTATGTGTCTCAGATTCGGTATTTCGCAAATACCGTATTTCATAAATACGAGGTCTCGTGTGAACGAGGCTATATATATTATTATGTCAATATCAAGAGCTAATAATACCAGAAGTAGATAATAGGGTTCCCTATAGGCTATTATATCTACTTCTGATAATACCTAGCTAATGTATTATTAGCTCTTGCTATATATATATAGGCATATATTATATAATATATATATTATATATATAATATATATATACCAAATAATCGACGTGTAAAAATGATAGGAAGGTTTTGCTACATGAAGGCAATTAAATGCAAATTATACCGCGACATTTATGATCATAACGAGCATAAACGAATAAACTTACATGCCGTTATGTCTAAATGATAAAAATTAACGAAATATGACCGGATGCGTATATAAATATAGAGCGTGGATGGGAGACATTATAGTCACTGATAAAATAGGAACATCCCTTTCACTTACTTATTATTCATTATTATTATTATCACGAACTTGAAAAGTTGTATCATATTTTGATGGAATCTGCGTTGATTAAGATCACAGAGACTGCAGTATTATCTGATTATTTTGATCTAGGACCGCTATCAGAGTGAATTACACCGAGATGGTTAGTGTCAACACAGCGATTGCTGACATATTGCTGGTATATATTATATGGGTGCTACTTGCTCGCGCTGATCCGAATGTGAGGTAACCTTTCCTCTTTCAACGCGAGCGGTACCCTGAACGTTACAACCCTTCCGCGCGGCGATTCTGCCAGGGGTGGTATAATATACCAGGACTGGTACGCGAAAACGACCAAACAAACACGATAGGCACTCCTAATCAGCGCCAGCAAAAATAGCTCCTGTGCGCTACTGCTGCTCCGTCGAGGCATGCTAGCCACTAAACATACATACGAACAGAACGAACCAAGTGCGAATCACGCTCCTCTCCGGTTGTTTCATGGCCACAGCGAACAATTGAGGACACACGTAAGGTAGACGCTGCATGGTGAAATGGCGTACAGTATTCGGGTGTGAGTTCGTACCGCATATAGGGTATAATTAGCATTCGTAATTATTTGCGGTAATCGCAATTCGTTCCTCACTTTAGTAACATCGAGAGTCCATAATAAAAATATTTGCTATTATGGACTCTTGGTAACATGTTTCCTCATGCGAATTTCGAAAATCTACTGAAAAAATACTAGCTATGATTCCTATTGACCCAAATTTGAGAACCGTTACAGAAGAAAATAATCAGTCTTAAAAAGCGTAAACCTAATAGTTGATTGGGGAGACAGTACAAAAAATATGTAAACAAAGACAAACACGAAAGAAGCTTTTTCTACTTTAAGCAAAGCACAACCACCAGCAATATGTGGGTGTTTGTGTTTGCCGATTTTAATCACGAGAAAGGTTGGAGCCAGTGGGGGCAGTTCTTAATGGGCAAGAGACCCGTGAAGAAACAGGGAAAAAGCATTGTTTATAGACCCTCTCTGAATATGCTCTCATGCTCAACTTTTTTCATCGGCGGAACAGCTGGTTGTGCTATGAGAAGTAAAATGTGGAGGGTTTTCGGCGCTGCAATAACACGAAACTGGTTGTTCCGATCAAATTCTCTATCCACGGATTCGTGCACCAGCAATTACAAAAATTACGTTTGCGTTCGTATACTTTAATACTGCCGAAGATATTCACAGTTTGTTATGCAATGTGGATAGTTATCTTCGACGAAGCCCACATCACAGGGGCTGGCACATCTTCTGTGCGATGAAAGACAAATACAAAACGACATGGCGCCTGTTATTGCTTCCGCCATGCCTTCAACAGGTGGCAATATCTAGAAGAACGAGGAGCGGGAGCAGCCGTCCACGACGTGTCTGCTGAGATTTCAGGCTTGAATATTCTAGAGCTGCTAGTCTCGATGAACAACGAAAGTACACATAATCTCATATACCGATGACAGTCCATCAGACGTGTCGGTCACGCGATGAACAAATAAAGTTGGTCAGTTATTTTTACCCACACAGTAGCGAAGCTGTTGCTCAGTGTTCGCGCTAGCTTTCCACGAAACCAGGGATGAATAATGGCAAATTGTCATTATTCACCCCCGATGAAACCGGTGCATATAGTCACGCAAAATAGCAAATTGGCTATAGAATGTAAAAACAGAAGAGACGCTTATGTGCAAGCTTGCCGACAAAGGATGTTCCCCTGAAGGTGGGTTTGCTCTCGTTCGAAACCGATGAAGTGGGGCCGAACGCAAATCGAGTGTGCTTGTCATGTCTCGGATTTATTTACGGAAAAATCGATATGTACATTGTAATGACGTAGATATCGAATTATTTAACCTAGTATAAAACCTAGCGACGCGGGTCGTTTAACGTAAGCAGATAACGTCATAGGTTATTTTAGTAACAGCCAAGGAAACAAGCGAAGGACGCCACCCAGCTATCCCAAGAAACTGAGTCTGGAACACGAGTAAAAGTTATCACCCACGACGGCAGAGTGACAGTTTAGTACCTATAGAAGGACATCACACCTTGATGTCGCATGCCGACTGATAAAGAACAAACAACGAACGCCGCCGACAAATGTGAACTATGTGAACATGAATCGAACTGCCGCGATTCCCAAGTTCTCACGCTAGAGAAGGAAGTCTCACCTTCAGTTGTCCATAAAATTCTGGAGAAGGACATAGGATTGCACCATCGCATGCAATAAGGCATCGAGGACACTTGGGCCATGCATTCCTCCAGTTGCATAAATACCGAACAGTTTCGACAGAAAGGCAGACACAGTTCACGACGCTGTCAGCACCGCGCTGCTCTCACCTGCTTTCGTCACCACGCTACCGTCGCCGCTGGACATCACCGACTGAGGACCTGCCTGCGACCTGCAGGACTCCACGCTCGTAAATATGAACTGCATTTGTAAACCAGTCGCTTGTCTGTATGTGCCTGGTGTGTAAGAGGTTAGCCTGCATAGGCATTATTGGTCTGCGTAGCTGTTATACGGCGTAGCAATTTGTAATGCGTATTCGCTTATGTGCCTACGGGCCTTACACTTTATAAACGATATGTAAACTATTGTACGCGTTTCATATGTGTGTGCGGCTTGTCTATGCATCGTATAATTATGTAGCGTATGTAGCTTAAAAAAATGTTCTACTTAGCCACTGTTTGTTAAGCCCACAATGTTTGATTGTAACCGGTAGGCCCTACTGTTCTCGTATTAAACGATTGATATCACGTTTCTATAACATTTTGAATGCTATAAATTAATTCGCAATTTACGACATGTATGAGATACTTACGACACCTATGAGCTACTCGGTAGCAACACTCGAACAGTAGCACAACATACAGCTAGTCGTATCATCTGGTATCATCCACTCGAATGTGATACCAATTATTTTACAAAAAAACACAAAAACACTAGCAAAATAGTCTTATAACTTAACCCAAGTAAAGTACCGCATTTACCTAGATAAATATTTTGCACAAACACATACGTTGACCCACTTGCACGTGCAGCCCGCGGATGGACATACCCGCGCATTCAGGGGCTAATCACTAACGTTGCCGTTCATGAACCCATGACCGGTGTAGATGCACCTTTCCCCCAATTTCTTTTCGGGATATCTGACACGGTTCTACAACGAGAGCTATTCTGCGAACGCAGAACCTTTCTCAGAGCTATGCACATTGTAGCATCGCCGTAAATCGCAGACGCGCTACAGTTTTTACACGTGCTCGGCGTTACTCGGCGCAGCCGTAAATCCTCGCTAACAAACAACGAGAGGGTTATTCTTGAGACGGCACTCTGCTTCAAAAAATAGCGCTCATTGCACACGTGCAACGCTAAAACGCCATTTCACTGCCACTCGCTGATGGGTTACGCTGATAATCCCCATAATGAATCGTTGATAGCTCTTTCTAATTAATGCGCGATCCGCGTACAAACGTTGACGTATACGGTGTTGAAGGTCAGGGTTACGCGGCTGGTAGACTTGCTAGTTGGCAGAACCTCATTACTAGTTGCTTTCGCGATAATTGTTACTATGAAATCACACGCGTCTGTTCATTGTCACTCAGGGAGCTAGACATCTTCATAATTATTATATAAGCCAGACGGCCCGAGCTTTCTGAAACGATGCTAGTACGCGTAAGAAGTGTGATAAGTTAATAAACACTGCCGGAAGTCCTGAAAATCAACTATTTCCTCAAAGAAAGACTTGCGAGATTTTTTCGTCGATAATGTGCACTCGAGAAAGTATTGTATACTAAACTGTCAGAGAAAATTCCTAAACCTGACGTCTTAATCACGCTCTGTAAGGCAGATTGAACGCATCTGGATATACGGCTGCACAAAGATCCGTTAGCAATACTAAAACACCATCCATGTTTATTCAACCACAATTGCTTATCGTGCTGTACAAACTGATACTAGGCACATGAGAATATAAATACGAAAATTGAATATTTACAACAAACTATACAGAACCGGACATCTGCCGAAATGCTTTTCATCAGGTGATAAACTAGTTATCAGACGGTAATAAAGCTAAATGTAAGTTACACAAGGAGCTGAATATCAGACACGCTACATAACAGCAATAGGCTAGATATCAGCCGATAAACTGGGTATCAGATGATAAACTGGGTATCAGATGATAAGCTGGATATCGAATTATAAGCTAGATATCACCTAATAAGGTTGAATATCAACTGACAAGCCGGATATCTGATTATAAGCTGGATATCAAACAATAATCAATATTAGGCCATAAGCTCGATGACACCCGAGATATTAGATATCAAATGAAATACCAGATTGTATACGTAAAAAATTTGGATACCAGTCACCAAAGGACAAACTCGATATCAGACGACAAGCCAACAAGGGGACTATTAGGTTTATATCAGCTAAGGTTGCCACGAGATTTCAACCTGAACAGATTCTCCCCCTGCGCACAAATCTTCCAGGATTTCTCGTTTTGGATATCAGGTTACGAAGTTGTTCTGCGAGTTTATTTTTGTTTGGCTTGGGCAGCTGATCATGTACAGCCAAGTTCACACACTGCAAATTGCAGGGCATGTTATGGTGAAAATACCCACCAGACACTGTGAAAAAGTGCGCACGTATGTATGTATACATACATCTAGATCGACTGGCCAGTCGATCTAGATGTGTATATTATATAATATTGAGATGTGTGTAATCAGCTGGCCAGCTGTATTTAAGCAGCATTTTATTCATTAAGGGCACCACTGGAAAAGAACACCAGCGTTCTGGGTATGCTACAAGAGACGGTGCAGTTCTAATGTACGATGCTGTATTTAGCCAGAAATGGCTCCCATTTCAAAAACTAGAGTACTTGTAGTCACCCAGACATACCAGCAACACACTAGCTAAAAGGCATTGATGCCGACACTTTTACTCAACTGAAACGTGAGTGGAGCTAAACACTTGCACCTCATGACTCAACTTTCACACTCATTTTAAGATGTTTACCTAAAGCAAAATCCTGTGCTAGGCACGACCATGTATTTGGAGAAGTAAGTACGCATCGAGTTCTGTATCACTTACTTCTAAGAATAAACGGAATTTCTAATGGCAAATATAACATTTTACACGTAGAAGTGAACCGATGAGGTTTCTTTCCCGATCCCATTTTTTATCCGTGCACTGGAATGGGTTCTGCTGAATTCTCGCCATTTCCTTCAAACACTCAAATCGCCTCCGCCTCCGCCTCTCTCTACGTCTCGTCCGTGTCTTCCACGTATGCCGCCTCGCTCTCCACCACCTGCTCCTCCTCCTCCCCCGCCTGGAACACCCCCTCCTCCTGCTCCTTCTGCAGGGTCGCCCCCGGGTCGTCCTCCTCGCACACGAGCGGCTCTCCGTCGGCGGAGAAGGCGACGTGTGCATCGCCGGGCAGCTCGGTCACGTCGGTGTCGGCGACGAGGTCGGACGCTTCAATGAGGGCGCCGTCGTGAAGACCCAGCTGCTGTATGATGTGGTTGCCGTCAGCGTCAAGCACCAGCTGCCCCTCCTGCTGCATCTGAGCGATCTGCTCCGGTGTCGCGTGCAGCACCTGCGCACGACACATAGCATCGTCGTTTATTTTGTTCAGTTATTCAGGTAATTATCCATAATGCCATATACCCGTAGTACTGTTAGTGTTACAATATATTTTAAGTTAATGAAATTAGATAACTACCAAGGATATATACACAAAAAGTATGACTAGCACATTTATTTGCATTGTGGTCGTTAGAGCGTGAGTGGCTATCGCACGGCTGTATAACCAGTTGGTTCCTCGTCAGACACACCAACGGTAGCTATGACGCCTGTCATAGACTTATGACAGTCACAACTACTCATGATATTTCTGACAATGGGCCCAGTAACAGACTTATTTACATACATTTGACCACACATACGAACATACACATGCATATACACGTGCAAGCCCAACCACAATGCCTTTAGCAGTATTCCCAGGGTTAAGGTCAAGACATACTGCAACGACAATGACCAAATGTAATGTCCAATGCCATCAAAATTGAATTAGAAACTATTTTTCCATTACAACTGTTTGTAAACACACACGCGCCATATCGCAACGCACGAGACACACGCAAGCACCAAGCACCAACACAATGCCTTTAGCACGTATTTCCAGGGTTAGCGTCAAAGACATACTTGCAACGACAATGACCAAATGTAATGTCCAATGCCATTTTAGAAAATTAAGAAACTATTGTTTCCATTGATTACACTGTTGTAAAACACGACCACGCGCGCCACGCACAGACACAGCGCACCGCACACGACACGCACAGCCACTACGCACACGCACACACACACAACATAAAACAAACAATTTGTAACGAACGCAGGCTGCCTCAAGCTGTTTGAGGATTATATAGCAGACTTAGATTATGTGCTTATGGAAATTGGTCTTATATAAAATTTGGGCCATTTATGATTGCTGCAAAGTTTACCCAACTAAGCAGAAAAAATGGCATATCTTTTATCAGCAGGGATGCAGACCTCTAATACATGCCAAAGGAACTACAGTGTTGTCAGTAGTTACCAAGAAATATCAAAGCACTCTCTTAATCTATAAACATACTAGCCCACCACCACCTAGCCGACCCACTTGCCACGCCATCATCTCAACTGTTGTAGAATACGGAATGAAGGCGGCCCTAAATATATAATCGTAGTAGCGAATGTGATTACAACAAGCGTGTAAATATTCTGGTGTAGAGCAAATAATGGCTACTAAACTAGTCTTTCTATGCTCTACATCACTCTATTTATAAATCTCTGTAAAAAAAAACATCCAGATGGGCATAACGTACTAGAGAGCGTTGCGAAGGTGTTGATCCGAAGCGCTGATGCGAGATCTTGCGCGCAGTTCGGGCACTATTATTAGGTCAATTAAATACCCAGGGTTTCTTAAACTAGTCTAGGTAGATCTAGAATTCAAATCAATTAACATCGGGACAAAATGTTTTTTGCGTTTTTGGCTTTTGTTTTTGTTTAGGGCACTTGAACTAGAACAAAATGTCCAGCATATCATAAGAGGACCCCCTATTCCGTATCATTTTATTTTAGTTGTACAGCAAACCTAATTAAATATTACCATAACAGTATTTTAACGGTTCAAAGTAAGTGGGCACTTTACTGTTCGTTAAACGAAATCATAAGGGCAACAGCATATACAGCTGCTATTGTTATATCTATTATTACTGTATCATACAAGCTGAAATACTAATTAATGACTCTAATTCCACAACAATTCCACGTTAATCATACAGACTATAGATAATCTAACATTTCCAATGAATTCACCAAACCAATATATGATTTTCCCAAAGATGATCCACTGAGCAGGGTTAGATACTAACCATTTTAGTTCATTAGTCCACAGGACTAGTAAAAAAAAAAATGTACTGGTCCTTCCAAGATTCTACTAGTCCTGCCGAAGGACTCTTACTAGACACAAAGTGACGAGCATTGTGATTTGCCGGGGGTAGGAGGGTGGAGCCCCCCTTCTGCTAGGGGTACAGGGGTCTTCCCCAGGGTACAAGGGGTCTCCCCAGAAAGGTTTTGTAAAAGACATTCAATTGTATAAAATATACGTAACTTTGATATGATCATAAGACAATGTACGCCGGCAGCGACAGCGCTCATCTAATCGTCTACTGCGGTGACTCTGCTGTGGTGGAGTGGTGGGATTCTAGGTAAACCTCTGTTAGTCCCAAATGTGTTCACATACAGGCCGAAACAGTGGAATGCACAGGGATGGTATCAGGAACCTTCTAAAGATAGTTCGTTGAATCGTTATGACAAGTTGTCCCGAGATGGCGCGTACGTTTAAGTGTCTTCAGATTAAAGATGAAGCTCCCATCGTACGTATAGCAACAACTATTTGCAAGACAGAATAGGTAAGCACTCATGCCATTACCTAGGCAAGCCTACAGGCTGCAATAGAGAGCTGCACCTGCTTAACCAATTAACGCAGGCAAAAACTACACGTACACCAACACATGCACTGGCATAGCCACTGGCAGTGGCATACGGTACATGTAACATACTGACAGTACAGAGAATGCCATAGAAATTATACGATTTAAGGAGCATAAACCTTCTTTTAACACAATTTAGCTTTTGAAATTTGCACTGTGACATTGTTAACATCATCCTCATACATCCAGGCATGTATAGATTCTACTAGCAAACCCGGCAGTCAAATTCTTTCTAACAGACAGTCAACAAATCCATGTTTAACCCTCCTCTTGGGGGTCAAAAGTAGGGCTGTCATTGGTATAAAATTATTTCGATTCGATTATTGATATTTTTGTTTTCGATATTTCGTTTCGATTCGATCCGATTCGATTTAATATATAATAAAACATGATGTAGCAAAAGAAACTTTAGCAAAATATTCCGACACATGACTTCTCTTTCCTTTACTGGACATGAATGAAAAAAGAATTTAACCTTTTACCAGGCAGGCATATGAAATCTCAAAAAGATTTCTAGTGTATGGAGTATGTATATATACTAAAAAAGATCGTATGTATAGTGACGGAAATGATATTTTGCAGGGGTCGAAATTAGCGGTACCCCTATATTCGCGGGATAGTAGATTTTTGTGTTGGATGCCAGATTTCCAATGCTTGGTATCCCGCTTCGATAGTTATACAAAATCGGGATAGTGGTTGTTGAGTTAACAACTTTATACGGCAGCGCATCTGAGCGAGTGCGCCCGATCTGAACAGGCTCAGGCACCCTGATTCTCATCGGTCTCGCTGCTAGCATGATGTATCCATTACTACGGCTCAAGGGGTCGTTGTCGTAACAGGTACTACAGATATGGACCCGAGGTACATATATGTATACACAAAGTGTACCAGACTTGTACTACAGAAGTGTACCCTAACCCTAACCCTAACCCTAAACATACCTCCTATAAAAATATAAACATAATACTAAACAACCTAAAACTACCTCGGGTACATATCTGTAGTACCTGTTACGACAACGACCCTTCGTGCATTACTACGCCACACTAGCATTATACAGCGGGCATAGTATAAGCGTATAAAGCGTGGCGGATGTAGGCTTAGATACAAATATCCGGATATCTTTTTAGATATTTAGAACTTTTCGGGATATTTAGAAAAATCTGGATATTTAGAAAATTCCTTAATATTTAGAAGATAAAACACAATTTTCTCAAATATTAAGGATTTGTAAGAATGAGTTTGTCTTTTTCTGTATAAAAATTTTTAATTTATATTATTTTAATTTTTTTAATAAATTTTATTAAATATAATTCTGTATTGCGATTTTTTCGCACAAAATAAATATGTTTTAAAGACATTACGTTGAAATTACTGAGATATTTAGAAAAAATTTGGGGATATTTAGAAACTTAACTGGGAATACTGCTAAAGGCATTGTGGTTGGGCTTGCACGTGTATATGCATGTGTATGTTCGTATAGTGTGGTCAAATGTATGTAAATAAGTCTGTTACTGGGCCCTTGTCAGAAATATCATGAGTAGTTGTGACTGTCATAAGTCGTATGACAGGCGTCATAGCTAACCGTTGTGTGTCTACGAGGAACCAACTGGTATTATACAGCCGTGCGATAGCCACTCACGCTCTAACGACCACAATGCAAATAAATGTGCTAGTCATACTTTTTGTGTATATATCCTTGGTAGTTATCTAATTTCATTAACTTAAAATATATTGTAACACTAACAGTAACTACGTGGTATATGGCATTATGGATAATTACCTGAATAACTGAACAAAATAAACGACGATGCTATGTGTCGTGGCGCAGGTGCTGCACGCGACACCGGAGCAGATCGCTCAGATGCAGCAGAGGGGCAGCTTGGTGCTTTGACGCTGACGGCAAACCACATCATACAGCAGCTGGGTCTTCACGAGGCGCCCTCATCGAAGCGTCCGACCTCGTCGCGCCGACACCGACGTGACCGAGCTGCCCGGCGAATGCACACGTCGCCTTTCC